TTTCAACCTCCCTCCCTCCCTCCCTCCCCTCTCTCTCCTCACCCCCCTTCTCTTTCTCTCCCCAATTTATCCTCAAATTGAACTTTGTCTCCAATGGACACTCCAATGCGACAAACACAAATACACATCACAACCGAATAAAAAGACAGCTGACAAACGGGTGCGCCGAACGAGGTGTAATAAGCGTCTGAACTGTATTTCAATGAATTCAAATCTACGGTTTTTTTACGGGTTTTTAAAAAAAAAGAACCTTAGTTATAATAAAGGAACTTATGAATAATTCAAGAAAGGAAGACAACGAATAAGGGGTTTGGTTCTAGTGTGAAACAAGGACGAATATTAAAGCTTTTTCTTGAGAATAATCGACCATCTGGCATAGAAAATGTGTTGACTGGAGGTATTTTTCCAAGAGGGTCGGAATTCATAACTTTGTTTTAATGATGATGGAAGTGGTGTCTACTGATTAAAGTAAATAACGTTAACAATTCTGGGGCGAGGAAAATACATGGAAAAAATAATCATACCATGCAGGAGTGTGTTTGTTTGTGAGTGTGCGTGTGTTTGTTTTTGTTTTGGTGTGTATGTGTGTGTGTTTGTGTTTGTTTTAGTGTGTATGTGTGTTTGTGTTTGTTTTGGTGTGTTGTGTGTACTTTGTGTTTGGTTTTGGTGTGTATTGTGTTTTGTGTTTGTTTGGTGTGTATGTGTGTTTGTGTTTGTTCTGGTGTGTATGTGTGTGTGTTTGTGTTTGTTTTGGTGTGTATATTTTGGTGTGTTGTGTGTGTGTGTGTGTGTGTGTGCGACTGTGTGTGTGTGTGTGTATGTGCGAGCGTGTGTGTGTTTGTGTTTGTTTTAGTGTGTATGTGTGTTTGTGTTTGTTTTGGTGTGTATGTGTGTATGTTTGTGTTTGTTTTGGTGTGTATGCGTGTGTTTGTGTTTGTTTTGGTGTGTATGTGTGTTTGTGTTTGTTCTGGTGTGTATGTGTGTGTGTTTGTGTTTGTTTTGGTGTGTATGTTTGTGTGTGGTGTGTGTGTGTGTGCGACTGGTGTGTGTGTGTGTATGTGTGCGAGCGTGTGTGTGTGTGTGTGTGTGTGTGTGTGTGTGTGTGTGTGTGTGTGTGTGTGTGTGTGTGTGTGTGTGCGTGTGCGTGCGTGCGTGCATTGATGTGTGTTTGTGTGTGTGTGGTGTGTGAGTGAGTGTGTGTGTGCGAGCGTGCGTGCGCGCGTGTGTATGTGGTATGTGTGTGGTGTGTGTGTGTGTGTGTGTGTGTGTGTGTGTGTGTGTGTTTATATAAACACGTATATACGCTTGCAGGTAGTGGTAGCAGTGTTAATATCGTAAGTACTTTCATAAGTTTATGAGAATGTGTATACCCATGATGAGAAAACTTTGGGCTATTCTGAGAAAAGAAAGTACGATGTGATAATGATGATGACTATTATGATAACGATAAGAATGGTGATGATAATGGCAATAGTAATGGTGATAATCAATTATATGTAAAATAATGATGATAATAAAACAATGATAGTAATGATAGCAATAATGATAACAATAATAAACATGATAATAAAGATAGTAATAATAACAGTCATTATTAGTATCAATGGTAATATCATTATTATCATAATTATAGTAATTATAATAATCATCAATATCATCATCGTCATCATCATCGTCATAATCCTCCTCCTCCTCATTACCATCATCATTATCATAATAATAATAATAATGATAATAGTAATGATAATAATAATAATAATAATAATAATAATAATAATAATAATAATATTGATAATGATTATAATAATAGCAATTATGATAATAAGTCATGATAAAAAATGCTAAAGACTCTGATGATAATGATAACAATAAAAATGATGATGGTGTGATGATGGTGATGATGATGATGATGATGATGATGATGATGATGATGATGATGATGATGATGATGATGATGATGATGATGATGATGATGGATGATGATGATGATAATAATAATAATAATAATAATCATCATAATAAAAACAACGATAAGAATGATAGTAAAGATAATAATATGTTATTGATATCGATGATAATGACACTAATGGTAACAATGATAACAACATCAACAACAAAATAACAATAACGATGAAAGTAGTAGCGATGCATATATAAAAAGGTCATCACCATTAACAATACCCTCCGCACAAAAAAAATATAATGATAATGATAATAAAAATGCTGATTTATCAAAGAGACCTTCTCATATCGCCCTTCTCTTCACCAACTTTAATACAACCGCCATACCGCATCTGATTAAGCCACCCGCTGCAATAAAGACAAACACTTTTATCTCACCATCGATTTTATCATCAATTGCAGCTCCTTTGTTGCTGTCCTTGCAATGATAATCATTATTTTTCATCCTCTAATCCGGTGATATATCTTGGATGACAGAAATGCGATATACTAACCGGGGACTTAATGTTGTTTATCATACGTTAGATATATTCAGATGGAGGGATCGTGACTGTCTTAAGAACCATATAAGGAGA